TCCCTCTGCTCACGAATGCTGAGGAGAAGCAGTACACGTGGGCGATCCGCCGCTCCGACTTCGAGATCAAAGAGCAGCTCAGCAAGGGCGCGTACGGCGAGGTGTGGGGAGCGAGCTGGCGGCGCAACGACGTCGCCGTCAAACTAATTGCGCGGGGCAGCGGCGATTGCGATGCCAACAAGGGGAAAACCGACTTTGTGCGCGAGATGCAGCTGCTCTCGGAACTCGGTGGCCACCGGAACGTGGTCCGTTTCCTTGGCGCGTGCCTCGACGCGCAGCGCATGTTCATTCTGCTCGAGCTCTGCCCGAGCTCGCTGTCAGACCGGCTCTACAAGGAGGACACGGATCTCAACGAGCACGAGATGCTTGTCGTGCTGAGAGAGGCAAGAGCGCCGCACTTTGACCACATACAAATACCTCCCCCCTCTCACCCTTCCCACTTATTCCGCCTACAGGTGGCGCTGGGCCTCTACTACCTGCACCACTGCGAGCCGCCCGTGCTGCACCTCGACCTCAAATCGGCGAACGTGCTGCTTGACGAGTCAGGCACCGCAAAGGTGCGCTGGGTAGCGGCGGCAGGTACGCGGTGGCGCCCCCTCCAAAGCACGGCCCCCTCTGCAAGGTGTGCGACTTTGGACCCTTCCACTCCATGGAGGACGCTGCCAACAGATTCGACCCGGCCGAGCGCTCGGGCATCGGCTCTCCGCAGTGGATTGCTCCTGAGATCCTCAGGGGCGGCCGGTCCGACGTAAAGGCCGACTCGTACTCCTTCGGCGTGCTGCTCTACGAGGTGCTCGCGCGGCAGCTGCCGTATGCAGGGCAGGACACCTCGACCATCATCATCGGGGTCATCACGCGGATGCTGGAACGGCCGGCGCTCGAGCCCGCAGACGCAGCGCGCTGGCCGGAATGTCTGCCTGAGCTGATGGAGGAGTGCCTGCGAGAAGCTCCGGGCGAGCGACCTGATGTCGAGGACCTTATCGACATGCTCGAGCTCATTGCACCAGAGGCGGCGGAGTCATCGCGTGCAGCGGCGGAGTCGTCGCGTGCAGCGGGGGACACGGAGGAAATCAGAGTCGAGGGAGAGCCTAGGGAGAGGCGAGGCGAGCTGGAGAGAGGAGCGGAGAGGAGGCAGGAGCGACAGAGGACCTACTCTGACCCCTCCCCCGCAGGTGGGACAAGACCTTCTGCCTGCAGTACCTCCCTCACGCCGACTTTGACGAGATCCACTTATTCGGAGACGAGACACTTCCTGAACCGTCTCGGATCCGTCGCGGAACCGTCGCGGAACCGTCCTGTGAGCTCCGCACAGCGACAAAACCT